ATTGGCTGCATATATATTAATTAATAAACCCCCCTAATGTGTAGAGAATCGATTTGTGAGATTATGAGATTATTGCAGAAATACAGTCCACTTATCATTATACAAATTGCTATCGAAGTATATAAATTAACGTAAATATAAATTCATATAAATTAAATAAATATAAATCTCACAGGTCGGTTCCCACATTATTTGGTCATCTTCGAACCGGATGACGGATTATTTGATCCTTTGAACCCACATTTGGTCATCTTAGTACCGGATGAACCAGTTAACCAGTGGATTCATTAAATAAACTAGTACAGTGTTATTTAAACAAAGCCAGTCAAAGACAGCGGCAAAGCCTCGTGGGAGCTCAGGAGCCCCCCTCAACTGAGTTCAGCCTCATCAGCGGTTTCATGCACACCCACAGATATTTGGTGGCGTGTTATTTCGTGAAATGACAGCGCTAATATTGAAGCCAGCCAAAGTAGTGGCTGTGGTGTCGCGTGATTCTACGAATTTTGTGGAGTTTATTTCGCGAGGTCACTAATAATATTTAATACTTCTAGATAGTATTAGAAGTTTCATAGAGGCAATTAAAAGGCTATTATCAATAATTGTGTATATTATTTCTCCAAATAGAGAATTATTTAATATATATTGCACTAGTGATCACAGTATAATATTTACTAATTGCCAACCCACAACAGGGTATGATATGACTAGTTGAACTATTATTGCTCATCCTAGTCCCATTATTACCATAGTCAGTTGTACTATATTGAACAACCTAACACCATTAATGAATGGTGCAGACCCTATTTTGGGTGTAATTTTTATCAACTCGAGTTGAGTTGTGTATATATAATAATTTACTTATGATCATTACACCTTTGAGTGATTAATTAGTGTCAATACCATCCTAGGGTGATATAGAAGAGCTAACCTAAAGGTACTTCCAGTGACACTGGTTTATCACTCAAATCATTAGTGTGGATGATTGTATATATATAATGTGTATTAATTTTAAGTGCTAACCTCTAGTAGAGGTAGGATTATTGCCTAGCGAGTGCAGAATTTACCCTAGGCTACCATCAGTGCTTGTTCAGTATTATGAGCAGCCCAAGTACAAGCCCCACAAGGCTTCACCAACGAACCAGTATGGATAATGCAGGGAGAATGAAAAGAACCCTTGCAGGTCTTAAAGGCCACTTAACAAGACAGATCAAGAAATGTGAAGATTTGTCACAACAATCTCAAGTTGATTATGCTGACCTGGAAAGCTATTATCAAGCAGCTGCAGGTAAATTTGAGCAAATCAAATGCCAAATAGCAACATATGTGGCTGAACTTGCCAACACTAATTTATCAGAAACAGAAATAGACGACATTATGGTTGATCTAGCGAATTATGAAGATCACACTCAGGCCACGTTACAGCCTTATGTCAAATTAATTGCCCAGAACAAGGCAACAGCAACAACAACAACAGTTGCATCTAATACGAGTCAAGCAGAAGCTCGACTCCCTCCAATTAATTTACCCACTTTCTCAGGAAAAGATGAGGAAGATTGGGACGAATTTTGGAACAAATTCGTTGACCTTGTAGACTCAAAACAATCTTTACCAAAGAGTAGTAAATTCTCTTATTTGCAAGGCCAATTATCAGGTGAGGCTAAAACAGTAGTATCCCATCTGAGATTAACTAATGACGGCTATGATCTGGCAGTAAAACTCCTCAAAGATAATTATGCTGATCCAGAAGTAAGAACATCACATTTAGTTCATGAGCTGTTGCATTTACCCCCACCGGAGGCTTCAGCTGATTCACTCCAAGTCTTCAAGCTGGAGGTAGAATCATTGATCAATGCCCTCAGCCTGACAGCAGATACAAACGGGGCTGAGTGGGTCTTGAAAATAATTGTCCAGGAAAAAATACCTAGGGACATATTGAGACAAATGAGTGCTCATTACAATAAAAGCATCTTATCCATGAATGAAATATCTGAAGGTTTAAAGTCAGTAGTTCATCAATTACGAACACATGACAAATTAAAACCACCAAGTAAACCCTCAGAAACCAATAATAGTAAACCACAGAGTACCAAAGGTACTCCAAATCAATCTAGACAATATAATTCAACACCAAAGTGGAACAGTAGCAGTGTGGGCGTATATGCAGTGGGACCCTCCAAGCCTATAGTTACTGTGTCACCCAAGAACGTGACACCAAAGGGTACTGGAAGCTATGGAACATGTTGTTCTGCAATGAGAAACATTCAATGTACCACTGCCTAATTTTCCTGATAGTGACGTCCGTGTTGAGCGACTCAAAGATTTGCAACATTGCACGAGGTGCCTCAGGAAACATAACATCAACGACTGTGATACCCAATTACACACCTGTAATAGGTGTAACAAAGGTCAGCACCATGCAGCATTGTGCAGAGACACCAAAACAACGTCTCCAAACCCCAAGGTGGAAGATAGCATTCCCACCACAGTACAGTACTGCAAGGTGCAACAAACAAAGAGTGTCCAATCGGCAAAGTCTAAAGGTAATACGACTTTGCCTACTGCCCAAATTACCATCCTGAATAAGAGGGCCAAGGTCCATACCCGTGGGTTGTTTGACCAAGGATCCCAGAGAACATATATTACTAAAACGTTGGCAGATGAACTACAATTAAGGCCTGTAGCCCAGACGTCATTCAACATCTCAGGGTTTGTAACAGATGCAGGACCTCAAGTCTACCAGGTGGTACAACCATCAGTACGCTTAGGCAGGTACGTCTGTCGAGTACAAGCCATTGTGGTGGACAAAATACCAGTAGACCTACAAGTTCAAGGTCTGAGAGCAACAGCCAAATTCCTGAGAAATAGAGGAATAAAATTGGCAGATAATATTAAGTCTGATCACCTCACCGACTTCGGTCTCCTTGTAGGGACAGACTACTACCATCGATTCATCGGTAGCCCTACTAAATATCTGGGTATAACCATGTTAAACTCTGCAGGAGGTAAATTACTCTCAGGCCCAGTATCAAGCCTGAGGAGACCTATGCCTGCAGATAAACAATACCAATAGAAACTAAATTTGTCAGCTGATTATATTTCTCCAGTAGCATTATACTAAGGAGATTACAGCTGACTATAGCAACAGAGGTTGATGTTAGTATCATCATTTAAAGCTGGAGATGAGTTCATGAGGCCTCAGTGGCAAATCAGTGAACAGTAGCCTAAAACAGCTACAAGTCACTGCGACCAATGTCACTGAACCCACTGCAGTCTCAGAACCATACTTTACTTTAATGATGAGCTATTCAATCTTCTGAATCAATTAATTAAATTAAACCCCAGTAAATCTGATGACTGATTTGATACATTTATTATTTAATCAAGATGTATTCCATGGGCCTCAGTGTTTATATATCAGTGACCAGTTACCTGAACAAACTTCAAGTTATATCTAATGTCACTGATCTCACTGCAGTCCCTGAATCATACTTGACTGTAGTACTTGATCACATTCAGTCTTCTGGGTTAAATAATATGTAATTAGGCTTGTATATTAGCCTTTCAAGAGTTGACAGGGAAATGAAATCGCATTAGACTTCTAACCCCTGCAACTCTAGTACGGGACATCCGTCCTGTACGAACAGACACACAAATGTGTGATTACTAACTACTAACATCAAATTAATGTAATAATTCGAAGGAGGAGTATCGGTGTTCGTCTGTTCTAAATAGGACTTCGACCCGTGAGCAGCCCCCTGGGGAATTATGTCGGAAAATCCGACAGCATTTAATATATCATACAGATAATAGCTGTGTTGTATAAACAAGTTAACCATAGAAAACGTAACTTGTAGTGGAATTACCGTCTAAAGAAAAGGGGATATCATCACCACACACTATTATAATTCACCACCTATTATGGTGGGAATTATTCTTAAATACATTAGTCTTTGGACTTTACCATCATAAAAACATCTTATATAAATTAACTTAATTATCAATATTAAAGTAGAGTAAATGTGACCCTTCTATCACTTTCTGAAATCTGGACAATGTAAGCCAGGCGTCAGTGGGGGAAGGAGGGCAGCCATTGTTGTTGATACTAGACCAGAGGCACACGGGAGCAAATACGGCTCCTGTTAATTTTACTTGGACGTAGTGTTATGGAAACCAAAGGTGTACCATTTTCAACACGCTGTCTACAAATTCAAGTTAAGTGTCTATCCGAAACCCGTTTATCATTCATTTATGGCCATTAATGTCAGGATATAGGGTGACCCGGTTAGAGCACGTGGAAGCCTCAAACTAAAGGTAATTAAGCCAGGTCTTCAATGTTCCATGTACAGTTTTCTCTGATATAGCTTGTCATATATAGAATCTGGCTTTACAGCTAGCGCCCTTTTGACAGGTCAAGACGAGGAAGCAAAATTTTGTGCACCAGTTACTGGGTGATGGAAGCTACCTCAAAGAGGATAATTTGGTGTCTACACCCTAGTTATACCTGGTGGACTAACCTGCTGTACTATAAGATAAGGAACCTCTTCAATGTATGTAGTCTATTACTGTAGTTTGATTGGCTGCATATATATTAATTTAATAAACCCCCCTAATGTGTAGAGGATCGATTTGTGAGATTATGAGATTATTGCATAAATACAGTCCACTTATCATTATACAAACTGCTATCGAAGTATATAAATTAACGTAAATATAAATTCATATAAATTAAATAAATATAATCTCACAGGTCGGTTCCCACAAATCTTGATATCACCGTTGAGTAGTTTTTGGTGGGCATGTAATTCCCTATCCGGATTTTGGTGGGTATTGATTCACTGCTAATGTCGTATCCGGATTTGGTTGCTGGATGATTTTTTCACGAATACAATAACTGGATTATAATACAAGAGGGATATTTCACGAATTTTATATCCAAATTTATGTTCTTAGCTGGCTAAGCAAATTTTGTCTTTAAAATTAGCTCTCTGGAAATCTACTAGGAAATCTTTTGAAAAATCTACCGGGAAATCTTTTGGAAAATCTACCGGAAATTCTTCCAGAAAATCTGCTGGAAAATCTTCCAGAAAATCTGCTGGAAAATCTTCCAGAAAATCTGCTGGAAAATATTCCAGAAAATCTGCTGGAAAATCTTCCAGAAAAGCGCATTGGAGAGTTTTTAGTTTTGCTAAATGTAAGCAAAATCCCACACATGAATTTGTTTCTTGCGGACGACATTTGGAGAGTTCTTAACCGGATTTTGGTAACACTTTCTCCTCTAAATCCTTATCAGGATTTTTCCTAACTTTTACCTTTCGATTACTAAAGGTTTCTCCTGTATATTCTAACAGGTAATAGATTCATCCTCAAAGTGTTTCAAGATAGAGAGAGAGAGAGTTAAATCAAATGAATGAGTTGAATAAATGAATCATACACTAGTTCAACCACATCTATATGTACCAATACACACTTGAGTCCAACCTTTTGAGGGCCTTCAGTCTCTGAGTCCAAACTTCCGAGTCCGTCCCAATAAATCAGTAATACATGGCCAGGTCGAAGGCGACTTTTCACTAACGAAGTTAAATGATGGTATTAATTTGTTTAAGTTTAAATGACTGTTTGTAAACAATGAACGAGAACCTCCAATTATTATTATGGCTTTTAATTATTATCATTAACTTGATTATGTATTTAATTGGCATATCAGGATCTGCACCAAAGAGAAATACATACTCTGTATCATCACCACCACCTCGTATTACTGTATGTATATGTATATGGATGTATAAGCTTTGAGAATTTTGTCCATGTCTAGGGTTTTTGTCCCCCAGCTGTGCGTCATTGGGATCCTGACAAAGGTTCCAGTAAGTCTCTCTCTCTCTCTCTCTCTCTCTCTCTCTCTCTCTCTCTCTCTCTCTCTCTCTCTCTCTCTCTCTCTCTCTCTCTCTCTCTCTCTCTCTCTCTCTCTCTCTCTCTCTCTCTCTCTCTCTCTCTCTCTCTCTCTCTCTCTCTCTCTCTCTCTCTCTCTCTCTCTCTCTCTCTCTCTCTCTCTCTCTCTCTCTCTCTCTCTCTCTCTCTCTCTCTCTCTCTTTCTCTCTCTCTCTCTCTTCTTGTACACAAAGAACATATTTTCAGATCTGGCTTTCATCAACTCGTGTAGCCAAGAAAAGTGGCTTAAACACTAGGGTAAGCAGGTGGAAGGGAGAGGGAAAGTGGGTGGGGAGATAGGGAGCAGAGAGAGCGAGAGAGGGAGAGAGAGAGAGAGAGAGAGAGAGAGAGAGAGAGAGAGAGAGAGAGGAGAGAGGGAGAGAGAGAGAGAGAGAGAGAGAGAGAGAGGGAGAGAGAGAGAGAGAGAGAGAGAGAGAGAGAGAGAGAGAGAGATACGAACATTTATGAAATTAGACAAAAAAGAATGAGTATTACCTGCAGATACCATTATAACACTGCAGGTACCGCTGGCAGTGACAGAACCCTCAATTTGAATTACACACAGATGACAGACCTACATTATGAGTAGGTCTGAGAACATGTAGGTGAGTACATATAGGTTAGAACATGTAGGCGACTACATACCCCCCTCCCACACACTCACACACAAAAAAAAGCAGCTCACGAACACGCACACACACACACACAAACACGTGCTTCGTGTGCCAAACTCAACAAGTAACTTAGTAGTTCCCAACTCATCAGCATATTACACGGATATTCCCCTCATTATGCTCCGGGCTGGAGGGGTAAAGAGGGTGGGTGAGCATACTGCCTGAAATTAGGAAGGGAAGGAAGGAGGGAGGGAAGGAGAGGGAGGGAGAGTGAGGGAGAGAGGGAGAGACAAAGGTAGACACGTGGACTCACAAGTGTGAAGTACACCTATGACTAAAATGGGTGTTATACCCACAAATTCCCATTTACACCCCCACAAAATCCCCACCACACCCCACAAACTCCCCACCACACCCCACAAAGTCCCCACCACACCCCACAATGTCCCACCACACCCCACAAAATCCCCACCACACCCCACAAAGTCTCCACCACACCCCACAAAATCCCCACCACACCCCACAAAGTCCCCACCACACCCCACAAAATCCCCACCACACACCACAAAGTCCCCACCACACCCCACAAAGTCCCCACCACACCCCACAAAATCCCCACCACACCCCACAAAGTCTCCACCACACCCCACAAAATCCCCACCACACCCCACAAAGTCCCCACCACACCCCACAAAATCCCCACCACACCCCACAAAATCCCCACCACTCCCCACAATGTCTCCACCACACCCCAGAAAATCCCCACCACACCCCACAAAGTCCCCACCACACCCCACAAATCCCCACCACACCCAAAAAGTCCCCACCACACCCACAAAGTCCCCACCACACCCCACAAAGTCCCCACCACACCCACAAAGTCCCCACCACACCCCACAAAGTCCCCACCACACCCACAAAGTCCCCACCACACCCACAAAGTCCCCATCACACCCTACAAAGTCCCCACCACACCCCACAAAGTCCCCACCACACTCCACAAAATCCCCACCACACCCCACAAAAATACATATTCAATATTTTACAGCAAACTTGTTCAGGTATCAATAGCGAAGGAGGCCCTCGCTTGCCTTCGGGTCGTTGACGGCGGGGAGGGTAAGGGGAGAATGGGAAGGGAAACGATGGGTTTAGGTAAATGGGAAGGTAGCAAGAGGAAGGGGAAGAGGGTAGGAATGGGAAGGGGGGTATTTTGTCACGCTAGGGCAGGGTTTAACAAGGTTTAACGAACCCTGGAGCGAATCAGGACAAATATTACGTGGTAGCTGCTTGTGTATTTAGCCAACAGCACTGTTAACGAACGTGTTAAGGAGAAGATTAACGAACGTGTTAAGGAGAAGATTAACGAACGTGTTAAGGAGAAGATTAACGGACGTGTTAAGGAGAAGATTAACGAACGTGTTAAGGAGAAGATTAACGAACGTGTTAAGGAGAAGGTTAACGAACGTGTTAAGGAGAAGATTAACGAACGTGTTAAGGAGAAGATTAACGAACGTGTTAAGGAGAAGATTAACGAACGTGTTAAGGAGAAGGTTAACGAACGTGTTAAGGAGAAGATTAACGAACGCGTTAAGGAGAAGATTAACGAACGTGTTAAGAAGATTAACGAACGTGTTAAGGAGAAGATTAACGAACGTGTTAAGGAGAAGGTTAACGAACGTGTTAAGGAGAAGATTAACGAACATGTTAAGGAGAAGATTAACGAACGTGTTAAGGAGAAGATTAACGAACGTGTTAAGGAGAAGATTAACGAACGTGTTAAGGAGAAGATTAACGAACGTGTTAAGGAGAAGGTTAACGAACGTGTTAAGGAGAAGAATAACGAACGTGTTAAGGAGAAGATTAACGAACGCGTTAAGGAGAAGATTAACGAACGTGTTAAGGAGAAGATTAACGAACGTGTTAAGGAGAAGATTAACGAACGTGTTAAGGAGAAGATTAACGAATAATTAATGAGTGTTAACAACATGATTAACGATAGGGTTAACGATACAGCTTAGCCATACATATGTTCCAAGAGAGTAAAAGTAGTTTCTAAAAGGTTTTCCCAGTTTTCTAAACATTTTTGCCTTGATTTGTGTGTTTGTGTTTGTTAGCAAGTGTGAGCGTATGTGTTTGTTAGCGCCTGTGTTCGTTAGCGTATGTGTTCGTGTTTGTGCGTTGACAACACGTGTGTTTGTTTTGTGTTCGGTATTCTTTGAGTTAATTCGTATATGTATGTATTTGAAAGTTAAAATATACGTCTGTGTTTTTCCTTTTGAATATATATATATATATATATATATATATATATATATATATATATATATATATATATATATATATATATATATATATTGGTGTATACTGGCAGCAGGTTTCTTTCAAACATGTTTCATTGAATATGACCGCATATTCTGTATTTATTATTTTCTGGTTTAGGGCTTCTATCCCTCTAACTATTTCTTAGCATCAGGGCTTAATTGGAAAAGGAGTTCTCCAAAACTCATTTTCGTACTTTTAAGGTGAAGAAAAGAAGTGATTTACTATAGAGTGTATTACACTTATTTGTATAATTTGCACGACGTTTCGAACCTCCATGGTTCATTCTCAAGTGAACAATCTTACAATACTAGTTGATTTTATACCCGCATTAGGTCAGGTGATAATACAATAAAGGTGAAAAACATATATATATATATATATATATATATATATATATATATATATATATATATATATATATATATATATATATATATATATATATATATATATATATTAGTATATTTGGTAGCAGTCTTTCCTGTAGACATATATTATTAAATATGACCGAAAAAGTAAGATTAATAATTCTAACACGAATTTTCTCAATCTTTCGTACATTACGCTTCACTGTTGGAGGTAAATCAAAAATCACTTCTCCAAAATTCATTTTTATTTCTAGTCTGACGCGACACGGGCGCGTTTCGTAAAACTTATTACATTTTCAAAGACTTCACAAATACACAACTGATTAGAACGTATCTCTGATTTTATATCTACATTTGAGTGAGGTGGTAAGGGTGATGTGGCATTAACACAAGACAGAACAGGAGGGGATATTAATAGGGTATTAAAAGTATCAACACAAGACAGAACAGAAACAATGGGTATTGAATAGAAGTGTTTGTAGAAAGCCTATTGGTCCATATTTCTTGATGCTTCTATATTGGAGCGGAGTCTTGAGGTGGGTAGAATATAGTTGTGCAATAATTGGCTGTTGATTGCTGGTGTTGACTTCTTGATGTGTAGTGCCTCGCAAACGTCAAGCCGCCTGCTATCGCTGTATCTATCGATGATTTCTGTGTTGTTTACTAGGATTTCTCTGGCGATGGTTTGGTTATGGGAAGAGATTATATGTTCCTTAATGGAGCCCTGTTGCTTATGCATCGTTAAACGCCTAGAAAGAGATGTTGTTGTCTTGCCTATATACTGGGTTTTTGGAGCTTACAGTCCCCAAGTGGGCATTTGAAGGCATAGACGACATTAGTCTCTTTTAAAGCGTTCTGTTTTGTGTCTGGAGAGTTTCTCATGAGTAGGCTGGCCGTTTTTCTGGTTTTATAGTAAATCGTCAGTTGTATCCTCTGATTTTTGTCTGTAGGGATAACGTTTCTATTAACAATATCTTTCAGGACCCTTTCCTCCGTTTTATGAGCTGTGGAAAAGAAGTTCCTGTAAAATAGTCTAATAGGGGGTATAGGTGTTGTGTTAGTTGTCTCTTCAGAGGTTGCATGGCTTACTTTTTCGGTCATATTTAATAATATATATATATATATATATATATATATATATATATATATATATATATATATATATATATATATATATATATATATATATATATATATATATATATATATATATATATATAATTATATATATATATATATATATATATATATATTATATATATATATATATATATATATATATATATATATATATATATATATATATATATATATGTTTCATTGAATATGACCGCATATTCTGTATTATATTTTCTGGTTTAGGGCTTCTGTCCTCTAACTATTTTCTTAGCATCAGTTAGAGGGATAGAAGCCCTAAACCAGAAAATAATAAATACAGAATATGCGGTCATATTCAATGAAACATGTTTAAAAGAAAACCTGCTGCCAGTATACACCAATATATATATATATATATATATATATATATATATATATATATATATATATATATATATATATATATATATAATATATATATATATATATATATCTAAATGTGTATGATTCTAAATGTTAATAAAACGTACATTCTCGTTTTAGTGTAGTGTGGTGGTGGTGGGTAATGTGGTGGTGGTGGTGGTAGTGTGGTGGTGATGGTGGTGAGGTGGTGGTGGTAGTGATGGTGGTAGTGTGGTGGTGGTGGTAGTAGTGGTAGTGTGGTGGTGGTGAGGTTGTGGTGGTGGCAATGGTGAGGTTGTG